TCCATATCCATCGATTCGTAGATGGGCAAATAGTGCAGAGTGTAGCCCACCTCTTGCTAGAGGCAAGGACTGCAAGGACAAGTAGATATGGACGATATAGACGTTCCTTTCCACCCCACCACTATGCAAAGGCTTGTGTTGGTTTATCGCATAAAATCTCAATAAAACAGGAAAGTTATTGGTTTGCACCCCTTTGGTTAAAGGGGTGTAAAACATTTGCTAAACATTGTAACAATAGACCTTAGTGCATGTCCCATCGGCTTGTTTTCACCCTTTATTATTTATTAACTGAACCTTATAGAATTACAAAAAAATTTAATATTCAAAAACTGAAAATAAAAAAAATACATAATGAATTATTATTAAAGATTTCTATACATCAAATTTATATATATATAAAAAAAAAAAAATGGGTCCGAAACAAATAAAAACATTATGGTCATTTTAACTCTCTCTTGGATCATTATTTTTTAAAATAATTTTAATAAATGGAGACTGCAAGCATGGACAATATATGATAAATGTTAGTGGTACTGCAGTGGCTGGCTTTATAGGCTGAATCGCTGCAGCTCGGAGGCCATGAGCAGCCTCTGCCTTTTCACTATTTCCCAAAGCACTAGTGGCAGAACCACCAACTAGGCACAATCGATTTAATTACCTATTAATAATCTGAACACATAATAAAATAAGGTTTGCAGAAGGTTTGTTGTTACCCTCCTGATTAGAAAAAAAGCTCAAGTTTAGGAAGATATAAACACAGATTTCTTGCAGAGCTTCTTCGGGGGGTTAGCATCAAGATGACATAATTTTAATAACTTCAACCCTTCAAAGTGTGTCAGTCAAAAAAAAAAATGTTATCTATCAACTGAACTGTATTATAGAGGGATTTAATAAAACTAGATAAAGAAAAACACAAACCTGGAAACACAAACTCATAAAGAAAATTTACCATCCATTTTAAAATCCATCAAACAAACATCCCTCTAACTACTTTTAGAAATATCTCAAGTGTTTTTATGCATTTGGCCTTTTGTTTGTGATTATGTAAAATAAATCTAATCTTATTTAAAATTTCCGGCAGGTTATCAAGGATTTAACAAATATGTTAAAGAGGCAGAGGGCCCAGAGATACTCAGAAAAAAATAGCTAAGTATCATTTTGAATCATTTAAAATCTAATTCTAATGCCATTTTTCAAAGAATTATAACTTTTGAAATTGTCAGCTTCTTTTACTAAAACACACGCAAAAATAAAACTGCTTGATTTTTACATATTTTTAGGATATTTAGTAAACTCAGTGTTTAAGTGATTAAATTCTTAAGACATCTAAATATAAAAGTCAATTTCGTATAAAGTATGAAATCATATCTCTGATCTAAATATCTGCTTGTATTTTTTTTTTCAAAACTGGATACAAAATTCTCTCTGTGCATTTTTCCTTTTACACCAAATACGTAAAATGCTTGGCAACATATTTACTCTTTATGGGATGTAAAGCAGCCATAAATGGTTTTTGAAATACTTTGAAATTTATCGAACAGGATGCATTTGATGTAAGTTAATTTTGGTACATTTTGGTTGCTAAATGAGACATGATATTGTCAAAGAGCTTAAAGGCTCAGACTAGTATATAGGATAAAGAATCTTATTTTTTAAATGAAATTATTGCACACTATTATGACGTTTAAATCATATTTGATTTCTAATCTATAGCAGATAAGCAAAGATTTTGCTTGTGACACAAATGCTTTTCCATAAAATTCCAAATACAAATCTACAAATTTACTCTGCTGTTTATGAAAGACGAAGGACAAATGATTAAATGGAAATAAAACCCTATCAAACTTATAACAGAGATTTAATATTTTGCACATACAGTATGAGTGGATTAAAGTTGTATTTTTCATTAGTTCATCTGGTAGTTTTATCTGAGCTGGTGCCTAAGCTTCCCACGGGTGCACTTCGTCCACAAAACCATCATGTTTATATTTTTACAATCTAATCTATTTTTTATCGCATTAAAATGCAAGGAGACGGGCTCTGCAGGAAGGGAATTCATAACAACTTCTTTTTTTTTTCATTTAAAAAGTCCTCCTACGCAAATGTCAACCCGCAAATATGCAAATAACCGAGATGGAAATCAGCAAACACACGCACAATCTTACCTCGGCTCCAGTAAGGTGATGAAAGGTGGCCGACTGAGGAGTTACAGCTGCACTGCATCTGTCACCAAGACAGACAAATTCAGCATCTTCATCACTTTTCATCACTTCATTATTTCTTATTTATTCTTTCTCTTCTTTCTGTTTATATATATGTATATGTATAAATATGCATCCAGCTACTGCTAGGCCTAAGTTCATCATATTCTTCTTGTTAGTTTTGTATAATTTCTCTTAGTAAACACACACATCATCCTCTCATAGACACCATGACCTTCCTCCTGCGATTTGCAGCTGACGTTCTCCCTGGAAGGCTAAAAGCTCATCTCTATGAGAAAGAAGCACTTCACTTTTTCCCCACTGAATCATGTCTGTGCTCTCCTATAAGCTCCTTTCCACAAGCTGTAATATCCCCTTATCTTGGAGCAACAACAAAACGATCACTTCTCCTCAGCTCTCACTTTATTTCTTTTCTTTTTTTGCCCCCCTCGTGTGGGAGGACATTCGGGGGTCATGGGATATTTCACACCTTTAGGCCCATATTTAAGGCCGTCTTCATAATTGTCTGCCATCTGAAGAATCCAGGAAATGTATAAACCATTATTGTCAAATGGGACCCCAAACAAACAACATTTAAAATAAAATATCTGTTATTTACACTTTAGTTTTGTCAGAGTGCTTTAAAAATCACTAATGGTCGAATAAGAAACACATTTTTAAATTGTTCCAATAAAGACTGCTTTTTTTAGTAAAACGCAAACCTAAATGAAGCTTTTTCTTCTGTGCAAACATCTGAGTTGTAAAAAAGAGATAAAATAAGAATTGAAGATGTCCCGTTACCTCGGCTGAAGTGGAAAAGTCTTCGTCAACTGGGAAACAATGATCACTTTGTCCTGCGGCCCACTTCCAGTCAGGGGAGTACTGAAGGATGGATGGACTGGATCTTAAACCCCCTGTCTCATCTGACCCCCCAGCCACTCACACCCACCCCTCCCTCTTGTCTCCAGTCGCTCCCTTCCCGCCTCCCTCATCCCACAATTAGGATGACTTGAAAAACCTTTAAAAAAAAATCTTTAAAACCAGATAAACAATTCTTGTTTTAAGCTTTAGTTAATTTGGCAAAACAATGAATGTGATGACCGAGGAAGGAGTGATTCAACACAACAGATACAATTAGTGTGATTTTCTTTTCTTTTTGAGAAAATAAAACAATAATCTTTAATAAAGACAATTTTAAAAA